TCACGCCTTTGGTGGTCAACTCTCGAGCTGACCGCATTTTCCACGCCTTTCTATAATGCGAGGCGTTTCTCCGCCGCCTCACGCCTAGGCGCGCCTAGGCCCCCCCGCCTTTTGCTGCCTTTTAGAACACTGACTACGAAGTAATTTTGAACACAATTGTAGTCACTGATAATTATTAAGTAATATTTTTATCCATCACATTTTAAAGAGTAATATTTATAAAATAATTTTAGAAATTAATTTTCAGATTCAAACAAATTTTTTTATAGAGAAAAAATAACATTCACATCTTCCCAAAAAAACCTTCATAGTTCAGACAGCTCTTACAGACCTGATCATAAGGCTTGGGACACACCACATAATAAAAAATCACCAAATATTCAAATATTCCAACCATACAAACTCGAACTAAAAGAAAAACAAATACTACTAAAGCAAAAATAATACTGAAATAAAATCTTTTTCTGTAATGAAGATAGTACTAGAGGAGAGCAAGTTGCTATAATATGGATGAACAATAATCTTCTTTTCCTTCTTCGTTCTTTTCCTTCTTCATAGAGATATGTGGAGTCAAAAATAATCTTGATACACAGCTCACAAGCAGACACACAAAACCCTCAAGCATGCGAAATTTGCTGTGTGACAACAAAACCCCTCCACTGGCTGAGGGAGACAACCCAATCATAACAATAACAAAAGAACAATCAAACTGGATCCTATCTATGCCAAGAAATCAGAAAACTTCGACCCAAAGATATTCGACGAGGCTAGGCTACGATGGATTTCATGGTCTCATCGACTTTCATTTGTTTACTCAATTAAAATGTATTTATAATAGAAATTAGTTCAAATAGGATTAAAACTATGGCAAAAACCTAAAATAGGACTTGCTATATTTTTATTTCAAAATAGGACCATATGAGTCCTATTGAAAACATACATATTTTTGCATTACATTCTTACGCTTCCATTAAATATGAATTAAAAATAGTCAAAAGCCATAATTAAATGTTTAATTCGTAATAAATTCGAAAAAAATACAAAAATTCGTAGAAATATAATTAAAAAATTTATAAAATTTTTATAAAATAAAAAATTCAAAAACTTTTTTTTTTAAAAAAATAATTTTATTTTTAAAAAAATTAATAAAAAATAGTAAAACTCCGTAAAAAAAATTAAAAAAATATGGATGCCTTTCCCACCGCCTGTACTACCTCCCAGCACCACCACCTCCGGCCGATGAAAAAAATGCCATTTTCCCAGAAAAATGCCATTTTTTTCTGTAAATGCCAAAAAAGTGGCATATTTCTCTTTTCGAATGCCAACATTTTCATTTTTCCTGCCATAAATATGGCATTCGTAATGAACTTGGCATTTTTTTCACCTGGTGACTGGAGGTGGTGGTGCTGAGGTGGCAGAGGCGGCGGCGATTTTTATTTTGAGTTTTTATTTTTTTATATTTTATTTTATTTTTTTAATTTTTTGAAAAAAAAAATAATTAAATTTTTAATATCGAAATGTTTTTCTTAATTTTTTAGTATTTTTTACGAATTTTTATTATTTTTATTATTTTATTAGGAATTAAAACATTTTAATAGCTATAAGGGTATAATTGTCCAAGGTACACATAATTAGTCCTATGCAAACATAGTTTATTTTTTGGTCCTATTTGTGAAAAGTGAATGACTTTTAGTCCTATTTTGATAATTAACTCTATTTATAATTAAATAAACTTGACTTTTTAGTCCAAATTGGAAATGGGAATAAAGTGCGTTTAGAAGAGTCCGTTTATCAACTTATCAGGCTTATCAGCCAACTTTTTAATCAAACACGTAACTTGTAATTTCGCGTGTTGAATTGTGTAATAATAAGAAAAAGTAAGGTTGAAGTTACTTTTCTGGCTGTATTGGCTGAATTTACCGTAGATGACTATTTCAGTTATTTTTCATATGTTTTTTTACTTATTTTATTAATAAAATTGATGGAGTATATGGCCTAGGGACTCCCCGGCCCACATACTTCCACTATTACATTCAGGCCCAACAGGCCCAAAACGGACCAAGCCCAGCAGAATGAAGGTCTAAGCAGGGCACGATGCATGAAGTCCCATGGCTTTAAGCTACCAGTGACAGAATTGGGTTCAACAGCATCACGGAAAAATAAGGCTTGAAAACCAAGCCTTCGGCAATTGGAGTTGTAATACCCGAGATTAATTTAAGAGGATTAATAGTACTACTCATACCAACAGAGGTGCATCTCCTTTTAAGGGAGCTCATCACCCAAGAACTCCAAAGTTAAGCGTGCTTGCACGGGAGTAGTCTTGGGATGGGTGACCCCCTGGGAAGTTTCTCAGGGCGCGCATGAGTGAGGACAAAGTGCGCGGTAAAGGCTCGTGGTGGTTTGTGGGGACAGTACTAGAGGTCTAGAGTAACTACCTCGGGTCCGTGTGGGGCCCCGGGGTGTTACAGGTGGTATCAGAGCAACCCTGCGACAGTGTGTTGACCCGTTGGATATCGGGCAGGGCACTTAGCGGGGCAAGATTCTGGGGTTCGATTGAGATTGTTAAGGGCGCAACGAGGACGTTGCTATCCTAAGTGGGGGTGATTGTAATACCCGAGATTAATTTAAGAGGATTAATAGTACTACTCATACCAACAGAGGTGCATCTCCTTTTAAGGGAGCTCATCACCCAAGAACTCCAAAGTTAAGCGTGCTTGCACGGGAGTAGTCTTGGGATGGGTGACCCCCTGGGAAGTTTCTCAGGGCGCGCATGAGTGAGGACAAAGTGCGCGGTAAAGGCTCGTGGTGGTTTGTGGGGACAGTACTAGAGGTCTAGAGTAACTACCTCGGGTCCGTGTGGGGCCCCGGGGTGTTACAGGTGGTATCAGAGCAACCCTGCGACGGTGTGTTGACCCGTTAGATATCGGGCATGCACTTAGCGGGGCAAGATTCTGGGGTTTGATTGAGAGTGTTAAGGGCGCAACGAGGACGTTCACGGGAGTAGTCTTGGGATGGGTGACCCCCTGGGAAGTTTCTCAGGGCGCGCATGAGTGAGGACAAAGTGCGCGGTAAAGGCTCGTGGTGGTTTGTGGGGACAGTACTAGAGGTCTAGAGTAACTACCTCGGGTCCGTGTGGGGCCCCGGGGTGTTACAGGTGGTATCAGAGCAACCCTGCGACAGTGTGTTGACCCATTAGATATCGGGCGGGCACTAAGCGGGGCAAGATTCTGGGGTTTTATTGAGATTGGTTTAAGGGCACAACGAGGACGTTGCGATCCTAAGTGGGGGTGATTGTAATACCCGAGATTAATTTAAGAGGATTAATAGTACTACTCATACCAACAGAGGTGCATCTCCTTTTAAGGGAGCTCATCACCCAAGAACTCCAAAGTTAAGCGTGCTTGCACGGGAGTAGTCTTGGGATGGGTGACCCCCTGGGAAGTTTCTCAGGGCGCGCATGAGTGAGGACAAAGTGCGCGGTAAAGGCTCGTGGTGGTTTGTGGGGACAGTACTAGAGGTCTAGAGTAACTACCTCGGGTCCGTGTGGGGCCCCGGGGTGTTACAGGAGTCCTCGACACTAAGAGGCCCCCGGTACGCAGAGCCTTCGGACTGTCATCTATAGCTGAAGGCATCCTCCTCGACAGAATCTCTCATCCACATGCGCTGGATCACCGTACCAAGTACAAACGTCGCATCCAACCACCGCATTTAATGCGGCCACATGCGAGTGTCAGTGCCACCCCGGTTGAGGTGACCCCTCGACCACCGGAATGCTGACACGTGTTCCTATCTAGCATTTATTGCTACTATAAATAGCTGTCCCTTTCCCCTTTGTAAGACACGCCTTGAATATATAACTCATATATTCGAATGCGCTCTCTCTCTTACTTATTTGCTCTGACTTCTCTCTAGTTACTCCCCGCAGTAACCCCTCGGATAAGCTACCCCCCGGGTACACCACCATCAAAAATATATTTTAAATATAATTTATTCATAAATTAACAGGAGCACCGAATGGCGAATACAGTCACTTCAGTCCGAGCTTCAGAAATTTCAGCAGAATCAGCCGATTCAGCCGATTTCAGTGTTACTAAACGGGCTCGAAATGTAAACATGCTTAAGTTGGAATTAGCATGTGACATGAAGCCCATCTAATTCAGCTTAAATGTTTAACATTTTCTTTATTTCCTTTATTCTAATTGTTCATTAATGAGTCTTGATCCTTTTAGAACTAGAACTCATTAATGAGCAATATTTTCTTTGTGAATGAGAAACTAGTTTAGAATTAGTATAAATACATCTTCCTCTTTCATAATTAATAGACCAATTTTCTAGATTCTATTTATCCGTTTCTCTTATATACTACTATTATGGAGCCCTATCTTCCTCTTTCATAAAGGCATATATACAGTACTACTATTTTTTTGCAATTATTATTATTAAATTGTTGCTATTGTTTTTATCTGCAATGTTTATTTTCTAATAATTATATTATACTAGTACAATAGTATACTTATCCAGTTGAATAAAATCAACAAATCAATCTCATTTTCACCTACAAAGGTAACTTAGTAACTACAGAATATAATATGGTGTCAAAAAAACTACTTAGTATTCCCTCCGGTCCTAAATAAACTTCACACTTTGACTTCACACAAATTAAGGAAATAAATTTGATTTTACTGTAGAGTACACTGTTGTGACACTATTTGGCACTGTTTGACATTGTTTGATACTGTTTTGCACTGTTTTGATGTAGATAATTTGCCAAATAAGGAAGGGAGAAGAAGTGTGAAGTTTATTTTGGATCTACCCAAAATGGAAAGTGTGAAGTTTTTTTAGGACCGGTAAGTATATAACATAAAGTCAAAGGACAGGCAGAAATCATTGAAATAGACGTTTTCATTTTGATTCTAATAATGAAGAGTAAAAAAAATTAAAAGCATCGTTTACTTGATACTTAAAATAAATGCTTCATGCTTGATATTGTCAAACAAATCCAACAAGCTAAAAGAAGGGCTGAATCTGTCTTACCAAACATCCCTAGTAGTATATGATAAGTTTGGGTTGGTTCTGTTTTGTTCAGTGAATTTTAAATTAGCTCACATTTTTTTCTCTGGAAATGGTGCACACTCCTTTCTACCTCCTCATTATCCTCATCTTTCTGCAACTCCTTCCATTTCCAGCCTTTGCTCAAAACAATGACAATGAAATAGCAGTTAACAGCAACCTCACCGCAACGAATGGGACCGAACCATGGCTGTTATCACCATCCGGTGATTTCGCTTTCGGGTTCTCACAAGTTAAAGGCAGAAACCAGTTCCTACTGTGCATATGGTATGCCAAAATAAAGGATCTTACCATAGTTTGGCATGCCAATACCACTACTTCTGGAGTACCCCAAGGATCAACCGTGCAGCTCGATACCGAAAACGGACTTGTTCTTCGTGATCCTCAAGGAAACAGATTATGGAGAAGTGATGGTTATGTTGGTAAAGTTGCTTATGGATCTTTATATAACACAGGGAAGCTTGCACTCTCTGGAAGTGATCATACAGTTCTGTGGGATACTTTTGCCCACCCAACTGATACTTTGTTGCCTACCCAGGAGATGAAGAATGGAAGCAGTCTCATGTCCTTAAAGTCTGAAGTCAATTTCTCACAAGGTCAGTGTTAGATTAAATTCCAAGATCGGTATCATACAGTTATACATAATCATATACCCATTTATCCATATTATTCTTTCTTTATGAGATTCTTGACAGGTAGAGATCTTTCACTTATATTGTGTTGTTATTCCACAGGGAATAAGCATATATATATAGAGGATGAGAGGGTTGGGTAACTCTAGTCCTAGACAGACTCAAACACAAGTTCAACCTATCATTAAACCAATTAAAGATCTAGGACTATACGAATGCTATTAATAATATATAACCTCAATTACATGACCAATATTAGTATATTAATTGAGATTTTTAGTATGAAGCACATAGGGCATCATGAGAGTAAGTTAGGGAAAAAAGTCATATTTTTGTTAGTGGGGTTTAAAGTAGTAATATTTGTGTAATTTTTTCATATTAATTACCGTAATTAACTAAGTATTCCAACAGTCAGTACTCAACAGGGCCCGTGCCTCTTATAAGTAAATTAAAAGGCTTGGAATTAGAAATTACATTACATATAACATGACTTTAAATTGCATTTTTTGTTTCAATAAGAGTTGTTTCAGCCATTGTGGCGGTGTGAATTAGTTTTCCGTTCGCACAAAATAAGGAAAAAAATGACTTATTATTGCGTCGAGGTGTATTGTGATGAGGTTACGCTGCAGATAGCAAATGCAATAGTAACGCTCGGTACATAGTGTATAAGATTTTCTATTATAACTTAAAAAGGATTATTAATAAGGAGAGGACAAGATTAGAATGAGACAGACTAAATTAAATTTAATCATACTTGCACGATGTATAAAATAGAACAACACATCTTATAAGACCCAACTATATTAGAATTATTAGGTCTAGATCATATCGAGATGGGGGTTTGAAAATTCCATACCGAATGTGATTACTTTTTAAAAGTCCACAATGTACATTGGATTGGTGCCACATAGTAGTATGTGGTTGGTGACAATTACTGACAAATTATGGATTGAGATAATCTAATCTTACGCATTTTGATCTTTAAACAAAGGGAGATATACCTAAATAGGACTAAATAAAAGGATAATTGCAATCGTAAGAGTTTAAAGTTTAAATTCCCAAAATATGACCAGCTTTTCCTATTCTACCCTTTCCTTATTCCTTCCTAATAATATTTTTTAAACAAACATTATAAATATAAAAAAATTACAAAAAATAAAAATCGTAAAAAATAAATAACAAATATTAAGACCTCAACCACCAACTCAGCCACCTTCCAGCACCGCCACCTTTTGTCGCCGGAAAAGATTGCCAAGTTGGGGGGAAATTGTCATTATGATGGCAATTTTGAAAAGAAAGCTGGATATTTTCAAAACATGTCATTTTTCAGAGAAATGTGACATTTTTTTTAACAAAAGATGGCATTTTTTCTGGCGGCCGGAGCTGGTGGTGCTGGGAGGTAGAGGACGCGTTGGCGGTGACCTACATATTTTTAAAATATTTTTTAGGTATTTTATTTTATGTTTTAGACTTTTTTAATTTTTTTTTTAAATATTTTATTTACTTTTTTTAAATTTTTGTATTTTTATTTTATTTTTGGGAAATTACCCTAAATAGGACTAAAAATGTTGTAAATTCCAAAATAGGACAATCATGTTTTTATTCCCAAAATAGAACTAATTACTGCCATGTTTTGGCAATACTAGACTTTAAACATGGCAGTATTTTCCAAACTTGACAGTAATTACTCCTGTTTTGAGAATAAAAACATGACAGTCCTATTTTGGAATTTTCAAACTTTTTTACTCCTATTTCGAGAATTTTCTCTTTATTTTTTCACGTTTTTATTATTAATTTATAAATAAATATTCTATTATTTTGATATTTTATTATAAATAAAAATTATGATTTTCTTATTAAGAAAATAAGTTTATTGGAAATTATAGGAAGAGGGTAGAACGAGAAGAAGGGACATATATTAGTCATGTTTTGAGAATAAAGAAATTGTACTCCTATTATTGAATTTCGGGCTAATATATTAGAAGTGATTATATTCTCATTCGTAGAAAATATAAGAGTAACTCTGTTCGTATCATACTATGTGTCACATATTCCTTTTTGGGTTGTATAAAAATATTATAGACATTTCCATTTTTGAAAAAAAAATACACCTCAAAAGCGGCTAGTGTATAATATACGGAGTACTTTTTATTAATAAATAATATTGTATGCTACGATCTAAAAACTCTTCTACTTTTTTAAATAGTGTACGGTAAATCTATAAATCATCTTACATTAAGCGAAAAAACCTCTTGGGACATATATTACCGAGTATGATACAAAGATAGTATGTTTTGCTTATTTTTTAATGTAAGTTGGTTTAATTTGCTGAAAGCTAAGTTTAATAAGATGCACCTTACCACAGGTAGGTTCTATCTTCAACTCCTTGAAAATGGGAATTTGGTGCTGGCAACCAAAACAGTTCCCACCAATGTAGACTATGATGCTGTATACTATACCAGACAGACAAATTCTGGATACAAGCTGATATTCACAGACAAGGGCTCACTCTCTCTACTAAAAACAGACAACACAACAGAAACTCTTATTTCACTTTCTGACTCCATAGTCAAGGAAAACTACCTGAGACTAACTCTGAACTTTGATGGGGTCCTGGCTCTTTACGGGTACCCTAAGGCTTCTTCTGGTGGCAACCAAAAATGGGTTCCTCAATGGACTCAGCCAGACAACATCTGCATCAGCATAACCGGAGAAAAGGGCAGTGGGGCTTGTGGGTATAACAATGTCTGCTCACCTGGCCCTGACAAGAGACCCTCTTGTAAGTGCCCACAAAGTTATTCATTGGTTGATCCAGGAGATGTGTATGGCAGCTGCAAACCCGACTTTGTCCCGACTTGTGGTGGGGGTGGGGGTGGGGGTGGGGGTTCTTCCTCCAACCTTAGTTTTGTTGAGGTAAAGGACACGGATTGGCCCTTATCTGACTTTGAGCAGATTAACCCTTCTGGCATGGAGGAATGCAAAAGGGCCTGTTTGGAAGACTGTTTCTGTGCTGTTGCCATTTTCAGAAGCAACAGCTGCTGGAAGAAGAAGCTGCCATTGTCAAATGGGCGCATAGACACAAGTCTAGGTGCAACGGCTTTCCTTAAAGTACAGAGTGAATAAAGGCCTCTAAGATGATGCTCATCCAGTTCTATATTTAATTGGTGAGACTTGAGAGTATAGGATGGAGAAATGCATTGCATGAAGCAATCATTAGGGGCATATAATATAAGGTAATAATTCTAACATTTCTAAGAGCTTGTATGAATAAAGTAACAAACTATTATCATATGGAGTATATTTAGAAATAATATCATGGAGACATGTGAAACACAATTGAATTTAATAGGTATGGCTCTCTCCTTTCGATTGTATTGTATTTTAAAAAAGTACGTATATTTGAGTGTTTTTTATGGGCGGATCTAAGAATGAGGGGCGGGGTAAGCTAAGAAGTAAAAAAATTGTTATTGCATATTAAAGGTTTAACTTAGGGCTCTTATCAAATCAAGCTTTTTTCGAACTACTCAAGTTGAATCGTGATTTCAAATTTAATTTAGCGACCCGAGTTTAACGAGCTTCGAACTTGAACATGGGCTAGATTTTGAGTTCGGATAATTATTCAAGCTGAGTTCGAGCATAATGATGTTCAGTTTGATCCGGACTCGAGCTTATCGATATATAACTTATAAATTATAGAAATAAATTATACGTAGTGTGTATCTTAAAACTTAAACGTTTTAGTGCAATTTTATAAATTTATTAATAATTATTAAAGATTTTAGTATTTGTTGGCATAACATTCTTTCTTACATTACATATCCAAACAATAAATAAATTATTCTCTAATTTTTAATAAATAAATCATTGTCTAATTTTTAATTCTATCTTTAATCATTATAAATTTATAAGGGAGATGTCACGCCCCGAACCGCATCCGAGCCACGTAGACAACCGCCGTACAACCCGATAAGAACAACAACAGTTCATCCCTATTGAATTGTACAAGGCGTCCAATTGATTCTATTGCCAAACCGATTAGTAAACACATACAATCAACATCAATATCATAATCAAACAAATGCGGACATAATAATATGTTTGATACTTAGCCACACGTGGCAAACACGGGCACGCAGGCCCCCAACTGTTTTAATGAAAACATTGTTCAAAAATCCATGAGCAGTTTATAAATTTCAAAAATACGAATGGAAGCACGAACCACGTCTTCCTCCTTGAGTGATCACCCTAGGCAAAGGTGCACGTAGTAGGACTCTAGCCTCAACCTGAAAAATGTGAGGGCCCCCGGAGGGGTCAGTACTCCATAGAAGTACTAGTGACAAGCAAACTATATGAAGATTAACTAATGTTTCAGACACGAGACCCAAAAATAGGGTGATACATATATATAAATGTCTCTCATCCACCCGATGATACATACTGTATATATACTCGTAAAATACTCAACCCGTAGGTCATTTACCTTAAAGAGTCTTTTAGAGATAAAGTTCTTTCCTGACTTTTCTCACTCCTTTCCCGGTTGCCTAGCTCACAAGCTATAGTCTACCTTCGATTCATACTACCGAGTGTTTTAGGATCATTTACCGTCCAAGGCACTCAACCCAACCTAGAGTATTTAAGATCATTTACCGTCCAAGGGTACTCGGCCCCACCTGGAGTATTCTGGATCATTTACCGTCCAAGGGTACTCGACCCCACCTGGAGTATTCTGGATCATTTACTGTCCAAGGGTACTCGACCCCACCTGGAGTATTCTGGATCATTTACCGTCCAAGGGTACTCGACCCCACCTGGAGTATTCTGGATCATTAACCGTCCAAGGGTACTCGACCCCACTTGGAGTATTATGGATCATTTACCGTCCAAGGGTACTCGACCCCACCTGGAGTATTCTGGATCATTTACCGTCCAAGGGCACTCAATCCCCAGTCTATCCTCTACCAAATCCTAACCTGGACATGGCTAACCTTTCATTCCTTTAACTATGGACAATGCCTAGCCCTATAGTCATATAACAATCCTTAGGATCCAACGTGGGCGGGTCCCACCTGAACGGCCCACGTTAACCTACTCAAAACTGCCCGTTTTGAGCATAAACCAATACTCGATCGAGTATCTACCCATACTCGGTCGAGTACAGGAGGCAGTAGCCCACAAAGCTGATTTTCAATGTATACTCGATCGAGTATCTACCCATACTCGATCGGGTATAGGAGGCAGTAGCCTCCTGGGCAATTTTTCAACAAATACCCGGTCGGGTATGTGTCAATACCCGGTCGGGTATGGCAGTTGACTTGGCGGTCAACGCCCGTTTGATCACCCAAACGGAGTCCGATTAACGTGAAATTTTATACACATATACTTCTTGACATCCTTGATCCAAAAATACCATTTTGGATCCCTGGAACATCACACATAATAAGTTATCACATTTTTGATCACCAAACCTACATAACATGCTTTTCAACTATGTTTTATGTATAATCATGGTATAAGCAAATACTTGATTATTCTTAATCATTCCATAAAACATATTTTTGATTACTTTAGGTAATCTCATGCCTCACGTAAAAGTTATAAAGCATATAGCCATCTTCTCACCTTAATGAAGCTTATGAAGTTCTAGCCTTCCCGGTTTAGCTCCGGCGAAACTCCGGTGAACTTCAACGAACTCCGGTGACAACTCCGGCGACCCTTTCAACTCCGTGAAAGTTCCTTGAATACCTTAGGAGAGTTACTAACATGGTTTTATCATCATACAACCCATATTAATACAAATAACCTCCAAAAGGGTATTTTCCGGCGAACCGGTCACCTTGGCTTCTAAGTCCGTTCTTGGACTTAGAACCACCTTCCAACCCCTCATTCTACACTTCCAAACGTGTAGAACAATACTAGGGTGTGGAATATGATTGTATAATCGTATAAAATGATTGAAGAACAAGAAATGGGGTTTATGGAGTCATTACCTTGTTAAACACAAGTTTTCCCACCTAAACTCCTCTTTTCTCTTCTCTTTTTCCTTTCTTCTTCCTCCCTCAACTTGGTGCGTGTATGATGGATGAAAATGGAGTTTTTTGCAGAGCTTCTCTCCTCCAAAACGATGGTTGGGACGTAGTGTATGGGCTGGGGTGGTTGAGAGTGTTCTTTTTGGATTATTCATCAATGATATGAGGGAGGGACCCCCTTTCTTTCACACCTTGTCTCCAACCCCCTTCTCACTCCCCTTCAGCATCCTAAATGTGCGGCTCCCCTATACATTTACCAGCTTAAGAACGTGGGTTGGCCCCCACTCATGTGGGAGGTCAACCCTTTGTGTTCCGGAGTGTACAATCGGTTCCGAAAGTTGTATTTTCCGGACTGTTTTAATTATATTTTATTTTATCGGGTCAAATAAAATATAACACTTGTTCCAAATTATTATTGGACTTTATGACGAATATACATTCCTCAACTTTAAGTTAGAAGTCTCTGAAATCCCTTTTCGGGATGTTATCTGATAATTTGTCGATACTGATAATTTGGCCACGTTTGACCAACCGATCAATCCTATGCCATTGGCATGGCCCAATTAGGATATCCACCACCGTATACATATTATCTAGTCCAAGATTAATATAATATGTGGTCCCGATAATATCGGGCGGCCCCACATCCGGTGTGACCCCCACGTGAATTTTACTATTCACGTAAAAGAAATGATAAAAATTTACAATCACGTAAAAATGCTTTTATACATTTCTCAGAGTTCAATACATAATTTGATAAAGTACGAATACTTGGGGGTGGTGTTACAAGTTCTACCCCCCTTATTTGGGATTTCGTCCCCGAAATCCACGCATCTAGTCAAACAGAAATGGATATTGTTCCCTTATCAGGGTCTCCACTTCCCAAGTTTGCTCCTCGACACGATACTCTTCCAAAGTACTTTTACCATCGGCACCTCTTTGCTCCTTAGCTTCTTTACCTGTCGGTCCATGATTTTCACCGGCTGCACCGTATAGTGTAGGTCTTCTCGGATTTCCACCGGTGGGTTCTCAAGAATATGTGACGGGTCCCGCACATACTTTTTGAGCATAGAAACATGAAACACATTATGAATCTTCTCTAACTCTGGAGTCAACTGAAGTCAGTAGGCTACAACCCCGATCCTTTCAAGGATTTTGAACGGACCTATTTATCGTGGGTTGAGCTTACCCCGACTGAGGAACCTGATGATCCCTTTCCAAGGTGATACCCTCAGAAATACCTCGTCATCGACCTCAAACTCCAACGTCCTCCGACGTTTATCAGCATAGCTCTTCTGCCGATCTTGGGCAGCCTTGAGCCTATCCTGTATGACTTTTATCTTCTCTTTAGTGATCTCGACTAGCTCGGTGCCCTTGAGCTTAGCCTCGCCGACCTCGCCCCAACACAATGGTGTCCGACACTTCCTCCCATACAATGCTTCGTATGGTGGCATGCCTATACTCGCCTGATAACTGTTGTTATAGGTGAATTCCACTAAAGCCAACTGATTGTCCCAGCTTCCCTGGAACTCCAAGGCACATGCCCTCAACATGTCCTCCAAAATTTGAATCACCCGTTCAGATTGCCCATCTGTTTGAGGATGAAATGCGGTGCTAAACCTCAATTTCGTACCCATAGATTCCTGGAACTTAGGCCAAAACCGTGATGTGAACCGTGGGTCTCTATCCGATACTATAGTAACTGGAACCCCATGCAGTCTCACAATCTCATCTGTGTACAATTTGGCCAATCGCTCGAGCGTATAGGTAGTGTTGATAGGTAGAAAATGAGCACTCTTGGTCAGCCTATCGATCATCACCCATACTGCGTCGTAGTTCCTAACCGTCCGTGGCAGGCCTACCACGAAGTCCATGGTAACATGCTCCCACTTCCATTCTGGAATGGTAAGTGGTTGTAGTAACCCTGCTGGGTGTTGGTGCTCTGCCTTAACCTGTTAACAGGTGAGGCAGCGACTCACGTATTCTACAATCTCTCTTTTCATCCCCGACCACCAGTAACTTTCTTTCAAGTCCCGGTACATCTTTGTACCACCCGAGTGCATGGCATACGCAGATGAGTGAGCCTCCTCAAGGATAGATTTGCGGAGCTCCTCACCCGATGGCACACACACTCGTTCCTTGAACAGTAGAAGTCCATCTTCTCTCTCACGAAAACCCTCGACGGGCCCCACAAGCATCCGTTCCCGGATTTTCTGAAATTCCTCGTCATTGCCTTGACATGTTCTGATTTCGTCTAATAAGGTGAGTCTCACCTCAAATCTGGCCAATAGCGCCCCATCCGTGGATACCTCCACGCGTGCCCTCAATGCCCGTAAGCATGTGAGTAAAACCCCTGATGATGAGCTCTTCCTGCTTAGTGCATCGGCTACTAC